AGCTTGTCTTCCACCCTCAACATTTATATCCCATGGAATACTCAGTTCTAGATCTCACAAACTGGGTTTTATAATGACTATTAGGATACCAGATTCTAGCCTCTATAGTCTACAACTCTGCTAAGGACCACCACATGTAATCCCACTCAAGTGCAGGATGCATCTCCTTCACAATTGTTTCTCCAATCTCCAAGTGAGGTAGCTGTGCGGTAAGTTCCACACACTGTACTCGGTTCTTCACCATATGAAAAAGATACAGAACAAAAACATATGAAAAATGCTAGTTTGAGATGCAGTGCCACAACATACTCAAATTAATCATGATGAACACACTGTGAGATTTTAGTATGTAAAATATAATCAAAGAATAATAATTTAATATTTTGATTTATATAGACTATGATACAGATAGACATCAATTACAGATTTGAGTTTACAGGACTATGTAATATACAAGTATTACAAAGATCTGCTTTTGTCCTATAAACTAGTATCTGCTTACTGAAAGTTAAGCTCAAGCTTATCCCTCCTGGAGGAAAGAAACTTTCAGATATTTTAAGGGAACATTTCAAACCCCTATAAACACTGTTTCTAAAATATAGTGAATGAAGAGACCTCAGATTTTTGTGTATCTTCAGGTCATCATGATGACTTAACAGGACAGAGAGGGATTTAGGCCACTACCTATATATCAGTTTCAAATGTGTCTTTTAAAAAAAGTTAGAAAAGAGTTAGAAAAGCTGCTAAAGGCAGCATACTGATGATTAAGAGGCAAAAGCATTACATATAATTCACCTTTTGGAAATCTGAATAATAGTGGTAATAATCATAATCATAATAATAAAAAAAACCCTAACAATAATAAATGACACTATCCAATAAGTTTCACATTATCCACAATGCCTTTTTTTTAGCATTTGCTTGTGCTCAAAGAGCCTGAATATCCTTGTCTTCACACTAAAGCTTCTTTCTCCAACATATATATAGCTTCAATTTAGATGTATCACTACATAATTAAGTTAGACTGATTATTGCAATATGAAATATCAGAACCATTCACCCCCTAAAGCAGAAGTTTTCAACTGAGCGGCCAGAACACTGAAATGTACCTTGTGAGAAAACAGATGCTTAACCTACCCTTTTAAGTTTCACTATGGTCCCGTAACATTTCAGAGGTTCAACAACCTTGGCTTCAAGCCTGTCGACCTACAAAAGAAATCACAGGGCCACTAGAATCATCCATATCTATGCTGTGCAGAAACAGGAAACAATTAATGGTGACTCATCTTATTAGGAATTAGTCCATATATGCTGAAAAAATAATGGGATAGTTTTAAAAATACTGTAAAAACTATAGTCAAGTACATTAGCCAATAAGCAATTTGTATTTTGAGGAGATCAAGCTGATTTCTAGTGGAATTACTTTTTTCTTAATTAGAAATGCATCAGGATAAATGAAACACTGAGATTCTAACAACTGAGTACTAAATACGTCAAACACTGCATCTTGGAGATGTGTAACTTTCTATCTAAGATCAACGTTTTGCTCTACACTTACTGATAGATCATGGATTAAGCCATCTTTGCTAACAAATATATTGTACAAAATGTAACACTTCTTGCATTGTTGGTACTGAATGCACTAAAAATACCAATAACAGGCTGTGTAAAAGGCACGAATGCTTTCACAGGTGAGTGCATCTGAATTTTTGTTTCAGTTCTCCTACTTAGAAAAACAGCTACATATGGTCAGACAGGCAATAGGATAAGACCTGCTCATCACACCTGACAATGCTGTCCAAGCAGCACCAGCATAAGCTGCCAATGACTTATGGACCAGTGAGTCATCTGGCCCACTGCTCGGCCAGATGGGCCAGATCAGGACAAGGAATGTACAGTTCCCTCTAAACTGGGCTAAAATTTATGCCAACTGAGCAAATGTTTTTCCTTTATACACTCTACCAGTACACTGTCAAACAATTTCACTTGAACTGCCAATAAAATACAAAGGATTAGGGCAGTAAGGCTCTGAATGAAGTGCATGTTACTTCGGTCTCTTTTTTGAATTATAGTGGGTCTTAGCTGTTCAAAACTATAAATGGTAATTTTCTACACTCTACTGAAAGTATAGATACATACTCCAAAAACTAGTTTGAGTCCATGTGAATGAATTTATTTTGTCTTAAATCGCAGTATTTGGAATTCTGCATCACACGTTACAGTTTGACTGGCCCTGCAGATAGATGTGTAAGTGGCATAAACACCTTCCTTTACACTCTCACTCATCTAGCAGACATGTGACTATATAGTCACACATTGTCCAAATCAAGTTTGTACTTTGAGTGTTAAACTACAAACTTAAGAAATCTGCAGTGGTCCCTGACAGCATCTCAGTGGGGCTACCAGTGCCCATTCTCTTCCATACTATTTCTGATAAGACTCAGCAAAAGGAAAATGACTGATTTTACCTCAGCTGCTGCCAGACAAGTCAAGTCACACAAATAAAAAGAACACTTTATTAACCATAAATCACAATCCCAAGTCTAAGACCATTAAAAAACTTGCTCTGTCTCAAATACTTTGAGTGCTCGTAGGGATAGTTTTGCTGACTTCAACAGGACTAATTGCAGGCAGTTTTCATTAGTTGTTAGGGGGGTAAATAATGAATACTTTGGCAGCCTACCCTGCTCAGACACTAATATATTTAGAAATGTTTTCTCCTATGTTTTCTTGTGATTACAGAGTATATATTTCTCCTTTTAATCAAAGAGAAGTAACTGAAAAGTTCAGATGGCAAACACAACATGTACAGCTTTAATTTTGTACCTCTGCCTGGCGATAATCCTGAAGTCTGGAAAATTCATCTGCAAAGTTTTTCAGTCCAACTTTTAAGTTTGGTGTCTCTGTGGCTGCATATGCATATATTTCATGTACTAGAAGATCTGCTTTGTCTCGTAGTCTGGCAGTTTTACGTACATATCCAGCAAATATTTGGCACAATTCACCAAAATGTTTTTCCACATTTGAAACAGCATCTTGTATTTGTCGAGTCTGATTGTCCCTGGATACCAAAGAAAAATAAGTAAAAAATAAGAAGGACACAAATCAGTGCAAAACAGAAATTTGCTTTTAAAAAGAGAATGTTGTAACAGTCTGACGTACTATGTGCTTATTTCTGAACAAATAACAAATGAACTACAAAAAAAAGCAGGATTTACACTTAAAGATCCAAGAGAGGAAACCCCAAATCACAAAAATCTGCTTGGAAGTTTTCTTACTGTATTTAAGCAAAAGCTCACTATTACTATTGGTATTATTACTAACACAGTGGTAACACCTGAAGTCTCAATCAAGACCTTCCCAAGACCACTGCTTCCTGCACGAGTCTGCAAGCTAAACTGGCAAGTCAATGGCTGGAGAAATTAGGCAGCAGAGGACAAATCTGGAGAAATTAGGCAGCAGAGGTATTAAATGGTTTTTAAATCATGAACAGGTACCAATCTGCTCCTGGTCAGCAGCACAAAGGATAAATATTGCTGAGAATTAAAGAAGAAAAGTGAATGGACACAAGTACAGAGGTGAACACTCTGTACCACTGAAAGAACATTCATTACACTAATAAATTGTTTTCTTTTAAATTACATAAATCTAATTAATTTATTTGATCCAAATGCCTGTGTGTTTCATTATTAATGATCTAGATAAGTAATTCCAATAATTCATGTATTTCACTTTGTATTTTGCTTTCATATTCCTATATCATTTGATGGTTGTGTGAATTCATGCCAGTTTTTGTTGACAGACTGAATCAGCTACAAGACAATTTAGCTAACAGTATCTTCCACATACTGGGTCCTAAGAAGTCTCCAAAGTCTAAGACAAGACTATTCATGTGAAGTGCTTGAATTCTCAGCAAGAGAATTCACTCATACCACTGTCTTGGCAAGGGGCAGAAACAAAAACTTCCTTCATATCCTTAAGCTACTCCAATATTGCTGACCAATATTTAAATACTGACTTCCTATCGGGACATGTGAAGATCAGAAAAACTGGAAGAAATGTAGTATTTTGAGAATGATCAATAATGCAGTCAATTCAAGCAAGGAACACTTTTACTTCAGGAAAAGTATTTCAGGCCAAAGTTACACTATGGGCAAAATCCCAGTTGCATTGCTTCATGGCAAGCAGTCTAGAGGACTGTTAAAAAGAGATTTCATTAAAGGAAAAAAAAAATCCTAGTAAGTTATTCAGTCCTCCAGAACATGCTGGAGCACAGAACCATTTGAATAGTGAAGGTTTCACCCAGTGAGTGGGAAAGTAAGAATTTCATGAAGTACAAACAAAGTTGGTTTTCAAAATTAATACTGTGTGATAAGATCTTCAGTTAAAGGTACACTCTATTTTCTTGGAAGGTCTTCATGTCAGAAAGTTCCCCTCCCAAGGGGAAGCCTTAAGCACGTTTCCTCACCCTCCTTACAATTCAGATCTCACAAGACTCCCATGCAACTAGTATTTAATTTTGAGACATGAAACACTGCATTTATTTATATGGGGGTGTAAACATTTTTATTCCCCCGTCATTATTCATGATCGCTTAGAGTTGGCCACAAAATTATCTGCGAGAGGCCCAAATAAATATCGGCACATCTTTACTTCATCTCTGCAAAGCACATTAAGCCTAGAAAAGTTTTGCGGCCTTTACCGGAGAAAGGCAGAGGCGGCCCCACCGCACGGGGTGGGCAGATGCGCTAAGGGGGACTGGGCCCGCATCGGCCTCCGACCGCCGCGCCATCCCCTGGTGCCCTGCCCGCGGCCAGGCCTCCTCCCCCGCAACACCCTGGGCTCCCTCGGGCCTCCCGCCCCGTACCTGGCGTCCAGCCCGCGGCCCAGCAGCATCATAATGGCGGTGGCGGTGGAAGCGGCGGCGGCGGCCCGGCGGGAAGCAGGGAAGGAGGGAAGGAGGCGGCGCTCGGCGTGCGCTCTGTTCCCATGGACACCGCCCGCCGCCTGCGGGACGGGCTGCGGCAGCTCCGCCCCCGGGAGGTGCCGTGAGGGAAGTCACGGGATCAGAGAATCCGTTAGGTTGGGAAAGTCGTCTGAGAGCGTGGAGTCCAACCTGTGGCCGAGCGCTACCATGTCAGCTAGACCATGGCCCTAAGTGCCACGTCCAGTCTTTCCTTAAACACCCCCAAGAGACGGCGACTCCACCACTTCCCTGGGCAGCCCATTCCAATGCCTAATCACCTTTTCTGTAAGAAGTTCGTCCTAATGTCCAACCTAAACATCGCCTGGCACAGCTTAAGACCGTTTCCTCTCGTCCTGTCACTCGTTGCCTGGGAGAAGAGACCGACCTCCACCCTGCGACAGCCTCCCTTCAGGTAATTGTACAGAGCACCAAGGGTGACAGAGTTCAAGAAGCTTTTGGATGATAGTCTCAGGCACATGGTGTGACTCTTGGGAATGATCCTGTGCAGAGCTAAGGTTTGGACTCGATAATCCACGTGGGTCCCAACTGAGGATGTTCTGTGATTCTGTGATCCCTGGGGGAAACAACTAGTGACCGGAGTTGTCCAGGTGCTCCAGGTGACCCTCAGGGTGTGCAGAGCCCCACACCTGAGCCTGGCCCAAGGGCAGGGACTGAGTCTGTGCCAGGACAAGTGCAGTACCAAGGCCTGGACTGGTGCAGGAGCAGAAAGCCAGAAGGCTCAAGCCTGTCTCACAAAAAAAAAAAAAAAAAAAAAAGAAGTCTAGCCTTGGCAAGTGACAAGCAGTACCAGGGGATGTGGCCCACAGGTCTTCCACCTGAGGAAGAGCCACTGAGGTTGGGCAGCCATGGGAAAGGTCTTTAAAAAAAAAAAGAAAAGAAAAAACAAAATTCAAAACCTTAAAAAAACCCCCAACCCCCCTCTCTGTAGAGGTAATGTATTGGGAATGTGACTTTGTGACTGTGTAGGCATGAGCCTGTGTCAGAGTCCCTGCAGGTGCTGTGTGAGACTAACGCAGAAAAGGCTTTTAAAGGGGGAAGGAGGGAATTGTGCTGTGTTCAACACAAACCCAGCCGAAATTACAGCAGTCCACGAGAGCTAAGGACTTGGACAACTGTTAGCATGTTGTCACGGAGGTACAAGACAACAACTTCACTCAGGTAACAAAGTCAAGCTTTAATTCGCAACTAAGTACAATGGCCAAAACTAGTGAACAAGGTGGGTAATAATGGTGCTCCAATGGCATCTGTCAGGTTACAGGTTTGGTGTACCTGTCAGGATTATTTTACTACACAAAGTGTGCACACACACACACACACACACACACACACACACAATGCACATGAAGCTTCTCACTCAAACGGTACCCAAAAGATCCAAGGATTGAAGGATCACTCAGGTATATCTAGTGGGAAAATAATTACTCACCCAGAAGAGAGAGGTAAGGCAGTCAACCCTTTTAAGTCTTTTTGGGCTGGCTTCCCAGCCCTTAGAGGAGGGCTTCTCCTCACAGACCCACTGTTCCAAGGAAAATCACACCCAGGTGGTGTCCAGCAGGGCCCCCACGGATAACCTGGTCAGGTCAGGGCCCCTGGTCATACCTGGTCATGGGCCAGAAATATTTCTGGGCCAAGGCCCCCACTGGCTGAGGACCCTGTTGACCAAGACATTCTGTTCTCATTCCCACCGTGGAGGAGTCTGTGAAAATGAGGGCACAAAAGGTTGGTCATCTCCACGTGTCAGCTGGGGGGGAAGGTGAGTGCTACTACCACACATGCATGAGAAAATCTGATAGGCTTGCCTGAGCATATGAATAGAAACTGATTCAGTTAAGATTTGGTTTTAAACTTTTTATCATATTTTTCTACTGAAAGTAGATTATTTAGATCACTTAAACCAAAGCTTTAACTCACATAAAGCAAAATACTCTTCAAATAATAATGACCTATTTAATGGTTTGCACCAACTTAAGCTAAAACAAAATGTTGCCATTTTGCCTTAGGCAAGTTTGTGAAATCAATGGTAAAACTCACCCCAAAGGTATGCAGCCCTTACGGACTTGGTAGACTAATACATCTAACTCCAAAATGTCTTACAGAGGATGCAAGGGTGAGACATCAAGCTAACTGAAGGTCTTAATTTCTCTCAATTGCAGGCTTGAAATGAGAGGCTACAATGTTTATTGTTAACCATTTTTTAATAATTTAATAAATCAGTTAAATGACATAGCAAATAATGATGTCACTATTATTAATGTGCAATCCTGTAATTCCCCACACTGTAGCAAGATCCGAGTTTATTACTCTTAGGTCTTACTCATTACACACAACTACCACTGAATTACAACTCTATCACTCATCTCTCTGCCACATCTCATTGCTTGTTATCAGGGTGCAGTACAATATGTGTCTGGATGGTTTTTTTAGGTGAGATTTTTTCACTTCAGAAATATCTCCCAAATTCCCCTTCAGTTATGTAGTTCCTACTGTCTGCACATTGTTTACCCTTCACACTTTCTGAGACATACAATTCAATTTTAGTCTTTTCTTTACTTTGTTCCAATTAAGTCTAAGCACTTTATCCTATATGCAAACAGTTGACATACCAGAGCAAGGCTTATCCTGTTAAATATAGTTGTGGGGTTTTTTTCCCCCACTGTTTTTGTACTCACACAGCATCCTGCTCTTAAGTGTTTAATTACAAATCATTGCCCTTGACATGTTCTTTGGACAATCTCTTGGTCTCCTGAGGTGGTCTTGTCTCTTCACAGGGACCTGTACTCCAGCAGGACCTCTCACTCACAAGTTTTAAGAGCTCTGAAAGTTGAAAATATCTATTCTGCTACTTAGAGCATGTTTAGACTTGGTCACCCAGCAAAGCAAGTTCCAGAATAGCTAGAAATTCTTAATAAACAGTAGAATGTTGTTGTATGAGGTGCTATACAAACTTGTAAGAAGCACAGGGTTATTGGCTTCAAATTATGGGCCAATGAGAAACAGACTGACACTTAATGAGAAGCTGAAAGACTGAAAATAAGGAAAAGTTACTTGTGATTAAAATCAAATAAGTAGTTGTTACTGGTACAAGACACAAAAGAGGAATCACAGCTCATATTCAGTTACTGAAAACTAAATCTGCTTCAGTCTTGAAGTACAGTACATGGCATAGACATTAAAAATCTTATTTTGTATATGCTGATATCACACATGATTTGACTTAATAATTCTTCATATGATGCTATAGATAGTCCTGGAATATGTGGCCCACCAGCTCCAGCTGCACATAGAAAGTTGAAAATAATGTCATGAGGGCCTGTTGAAATATTGAGTCATCAGAAAGTGTACAAGAGCACAAGCTGCATAAATCATGGAGTGGAAAAATATTTTTGTACTGTGGTTTAGAAATAATTATGGAGAATTTTGTTGAAAGTAATGCCAAATTTCCTGCTCATTACCTCTAAGTAAGTTTCCAGAATAACATACTAAAGATGATGACATCTTATAACAAATTCTGAAAATAAGAAAGCTCTGAAATACCAATTGACAGTGTTTTCCAATATTCATCCAGAGGATAAGCAACAGAGTCCTGCTGATTTAAATGAACACATGGAAATTCTCTGTACTGGTATATTGAACAACAGTATGTAACTCCAGCAGTTTTCAACAGTGTTGAAGAATTGCCTGTCAATGCTAAATAGAAAAAACACAGTATGCATGAGTCTGTGGAAACTTCAAGAACACTAGTTGGAATAGAATTTCTTCTGTAATATTTAGGGAATGCTTTAGCCATTGGTAAGGTAAAGCCATTTTTCTGGGTTGGAATTTCACGTTTCATCAATGAGTGTGTCCTAGATATATGTAAAATATCAACAGAATATTCAGTCAACTTTATTTAAGTTAACTGATGTTAATTTATATGGTATAATAGTTACAAAATGATCCATACAGGTCCAGAGATTCATCTGTGCACTGCAGTTTACGTGATTAAGATTAAGTCTCTGTATGTAGCTGATGAGCTGCCTATTCATGTGACTACTTCTCTTCTCATAGTGTGTTTTGTGACTTTAGAATATTTTTTGCAATCTTTAAACTTTTTTTATAACTCCATTTTCGTGTCCACCTATGCTATCAAATCTTATTCTATGTATCAAAAGGCAATCACTGTAGACTTTGAATGTCAAACCCCATTAATTTAGCATACAAGGGATTGTTCTTTGAGATTTAATAATTTCAAGCATTTTCTCCTTCTATAACAGTTTCTCTCTTCCTGCTATTTCACTTTGCCTCTGCAGTTCCCTTAATGCAGGAACTAGACCACCTCTTATTCCTAGCTTTGTGTTTTCTCAAGAACAAGAGGTAGCTTATGGGAGCCATCCTTCCCTGATGCACAAGTCTTCAACAAGTTTCAGATATCTCAATTAAAAATCAGTTAGTTAGTTAGAGGAGAAAAAGACAACATAATTAGAAAAACCGTAAAACACTGTTTCCTCAGGCTAATACCCACGGGCTGGTGTAACCTTCTGTCATCCATTTTGTCAGTATTGGTGGGAGCATAGAAACCTCTCAATGATTTATGCATTTGCCTGTTGTGTTCTTAGTTCTGTAAAAGAGCTTTAGCCTCTGTCAGAGGCAGGATGCTGGGCTAGCAGGGTCTTTGATCTTGTTCAGTACATGCACTCATGCTTTTATGGTATTATATTTTTTATAAAATAAGAGAAGTTCTTTTGTTTGGTTCCTTGCTTACCTCTGTATAAGTATTTCTTCTCCTGTACTTCTCTTTATGCAAGCTGAGTTTAAAGGGAAAATGCAAAATATGTCTGGAATATGCTGCTATACAAGTTCAGTCTTACTCTCACTTTTTTCTACCATGTAAACTTTGACTTGTTCCTCCCAGATTCTCACCTAGGTAGAAGAACCCTGTATTCTTGTCTTGTTTCCCCAGCCTTACTAATCTGCATTGTATCCAGTTTATCATTGAGATTTACTGCTTGAATACGGACAGATGAAGATGTTTGTGTTGACACTGTTTTATAATGCCTGATACTCTATTTAAGGTATTCATATTTGTTGTGATGCAGACCATGATCTCGGTCACGTGTAGTGAGTACTGATTCATATGCCAGGGAAGGTGTTGGAAAACACCTGTTTCTTGGATCTGCAGTCTAGATGATTCTGAATGTTCTGATTCATTAGTGACAACAAATGGTGCTCCAGTTTTTGTTGGTAGCAACGTAGAAATCCTAGATTAGGCTGTCAGAGTGCTTTACTGAAGCCTGCTCAAGGTTCCTGAGCCGTGTAGGCACATTGTGAACATTGCTGAAGACAAATTGGCCTGTGCCAATCTGCTTGTGCTGCTGGAAAGACAGGGCAGAGGGGACTCCTGGAAGGAGACTATTGCTACATGTCTCCATGGAAATCTTTAGTAAAAAACAAAGGATTTATTTGAACTAAATGTATAGATGGTGAGGAAAATCAGTTTTGGAGAGCAGGTCTGCTGCTCTTTCTGCAGCATTGTCCCTTGTTCCTTCAGTGACAGCACTGTCACAGCCTGCTCAGCTTTCCAGGGCTCTGATTGATGAAGGTAGGCAGTGGAGCCAGGCTGTTTTGCCATTCCCCTCAGGCTAGTGCCAGAAGCAATCTAATCTGCCTTTTGTTTTCAGATAACTGTGATAATAAACACATTAATTAAATAGACACTTGTATTATTAACATAGTACATAATTTTAATTAGTTAATAGTTACTTTCCAGACATACTTTATTATTGAAACAAGTGTGAGTAAATAAGAATTAGCAGGTCAGAATTATTATTTTTCAATTTCATATGTGTTAAAATACAAAACTGGTGGCAAGTCACTTTGCTGCCTGAGAAGTAGAGCAGAGAGTATAGAGTTCTTTGTTTGCCCCATTCAGCAGGTAGGGAGTTTCTCCTAGATCCTTCACAGCTGAAGTGGGTTGGGCTGGAAGACTGATAAGATGGATGGAGCTCATGTATCTGCAGGTATTTGCAACATGTACCAGGTACAATACCTTTGACGGAAGTTTCTTCATGTCTTCTATGCCAGATTTATACTGGTAGTCGTGGCAGAATTCCCGAAAGATGTCTATACTGCTCTCTAAGAATGAGATTGTACACAGGGTGTGTTCCTAAATTGCTTCTCACATAAACAAGTGCTTCCCAGAGATCCCAACAACAAGTGGCAGGAGTTGTCTTATGCCCTTACTGTAATTGCTACCTCAGTATTGGTAGTAGACCAGGCTGCCTGCCTCTGTACTGGGTGCCTGGATGTCTCCTGTGGGTCTCTTGAGGCGCCACTGTGAAATAATGCAAAGCCATGAAATAACCCTCATGAGTGCTCTTATAGCATGGAACTGAGGCTATATATATCCTGGGATATGGTTTATGAGATATTTGAGAGGCAAAACTTGCTGCAATAATGTTGAAGGATGGTAGTGAATGGAGGGAGTCAATCGCAGAGTGAATGGGCACAGCAAACCTGGTGCAGCTGTAACCAACCGACTTTTGTGATCATTCCCTGGAGTAAAGTGTTCCCAGCACTGTGGCTGTACTTTGTCTGAGAGAGAACAATTTGGAACTGGCAACGGTAGGGTAGTGATAAACGAATTAAGTAATACTTGGGTTTGTCTCATGGCCCTATAACATTCAGCAGTGTAGATATACCCAAAGAAGCAGGTATACCCAGAGGGTCTCTTCCACGTGCACCTGGGAGCTCTCTTGCAGGTTTGCTATAAACCTGAAATGCAGATCTGGTCTTTTGAGCAACCTCAGATTTGCTCTCAGAAGATTAGTAGTGTTTTATGAGGCTTTGAAAGGAAGTTGATATTGGTTTCATTGAAGTCTGTGACGATTTCTGTCATTAGCAGTAGGAGTCAAATTTTATCCTTAGTGAATTCTTTTCTTCTTTTTACAGTAGTAATATTCCATTCCCAACAAATGGCTGTACCAGGATTATTTTCTGCAGCTGAAGTGGCAGCCTGGAGTGAGGTCATGCTGAAGATACTGGTATGTGATAATAGCTACCACTTGGTGGCATCCATGCCATGCTTTATTTAGCTGAAAACTCCATAGCCAGCAAACTGGGAAAACTTTGGGAGTATCTGTCTTGACATTCATTCTTTAAGGGTATTTAAAATAGTTAATCTGGATTGGTGTGCAAAGTGCTCAACATATGCATGACTCACCTTATGCTTGTAATTTAGTGTAGGAGTATATATATTTACTGGCCTTGCAGTTGGCTCAACTAATCAAAGTAAAGTGATTAAACTCTATCTTGCTGCTTTCTTTGGAAGACTGTTCAACTAATTTTTATTCACAGAAAATCTGTTTAAGCTCTTAGATCCTTGGTCTTGACCTTGCCACTTACCTGAGTTTAAAACAAGGTTTGATTTTAGGTAAGTCAATTAGAAATAAAAATAGCACAGATCTGGTTAGGGGGAGAGTGTATTTGAAAGGAGTTCTTGAATCTTTGATTTGCACTTATCAAAGACTCATTCTGGAAAGTGTGAAACATTGGCATTACTAAGGTTTATTAGGAGGTGGAAACAGCTACAGATTCACTTTACCTAACTTTTGACATTTAAATGAGGTGTCAGAAATATATTTCACCAATCAAATTCTTAATTTGGAGGTTTCTATCTGTCTCTGAAGTGATATCTAGCACAATTCAGTTCGATTCTTACGAGTATCTAACTTCGGATTTAAAGCTGTAAACCTGTCCTTCTTGTATTTATTATCAAAGTACTGAGAAAAGAAGCAAGTGTTGTGCTCAGTGGTTGTCAATTAATGGTTGTGCTCAATGATCTTTTCCAAACTAAACAATTCTATGATTCTAAGACAAAATTTTTTAAAATGGCTGGTAAATATGAATACATCAGGTTTTTGGTAGCTTAATGCATATAATAGGATAGTGGGCATTTTTTTGATAGAATTACTCTGATGTAAGGAAAACCAAGAACTTTTTAGCTCTTTAAGACTTGGTCTGCAAGTCCTTCGTCACTTCAGGGGACATAATATAGCAATGAGCATGACATAAGTATGGATGAAATCTAAATAAATGGCACTTGGCTGTTTGTGGACTGATACTAGAACAATATTTCTACTTTTGAATATTTGACCCATAAAATCCACTTGTGATGGTAATGAAATAAAAAAAAACTCTTACAAACACTGTATACTTGTAATCTAATTGCATTATACAATGATGATTGAATAATAGCTGACATTTGAGTGTTATTCATTGCTTTGTTAGATTCTTTAATTTTTTAGAGTAGAGGTTAGAAGGTTTGTGGGTTGTCTTATTTATTTTTACTTAAATTTGAAATAAATATCACTCCTAGGTCATTGGAGAGTTGGTGGAAACCAGATACTTCCCAGCACTTTTGAGACTTTTTTTTCCTACTAGTAAAATCAAAATAAAATGGAACAAAAATTTCTAAACACTTGACAAGCAAATAATCATTATTAATGAATGAGATTGCTACTAGTTTTGGAGGCAATAAAAGATTAACTATCCAAACATTACACATAATTGAAACTCGACGACTTATTTTGACCTGGTGAATCTCCCATTCCTCTCCGTGGCCTGCATCAGTGTGGTGAGAGATGGGCTTTAAAAAAAAGCATGATTCTATTCTGCTAATTTTCAGTTTTATTAAGCAGGATAAAGCAATAATCTGAGTTAATTTCTTCTTGAAAGCTAACCGTTTGATAATCCCAAGAGAAATAAATAACACTATTCCATGTTTCAAACAGAACAACCATGTTAGCAAATGACTGTGAAATTGGGGAACACTTCAGAATTCTCAGTACATCATAGTTCTTCACATCTCTCTAGTCCTTCAACATTGCTAGGCATTTTTGTTATGTACATATTTAAAATTACAGCAAAAAGGCCTGTACTGAAGAAAACTGAATATGAGTCAGCAGTGCCCTGGCAGCCAGGAGGGCCAGCTGTGTCCTAGGGGGCATCAGGCAAAGCATCACCAGCCGGTCAAGGGAGGGGATTGTCCCGCTCTGCTCTGCACTGGGGTGGCCTAACCTTGGATACTGTGTGTGGCTTTGGACACTACAATATAAGAAAGATATTAAGCTATTAGAGAACCTCCAAAGGAGGGCAACGAAGGTGGTGAAGGGCCTTGAGGGGAAGCCGTATGAGGAGTGGCTGAGGTCACTTGGTCTGTTCAGCCTGGAGAAGAGGAGACTGAGGGGAGATCTCATTGCAGTTACAACTTCCTTTTGAGGGAAAGAGGGGGAGCAGGCACGGATCTCTTCTCTGTGGTGACCAGTGACAGGATCCAAGGGAATGGCCTGAAGTTGTGTCAGGGGAGGTTTAGGTTGGATATTAAAGGTTCTTCACCCAGAGGGTGTTTGGGGGCTGGAACAGGCTCCTTAGGGAAGTGGTCACAGCACCAAGGCTGACAGAGTACAAGAAGCTTTTGGACAATACTCCCAGGCACATGGTGTGACTCTTGGGGGTGGTCAGTTATGGGGTTGGACTCGATGATCCTTGTGAGTCTCTTCCAACTCGGCATATTCTGTAATTCTTTGTGATTCTGTGATTCTGTAAAGTATATGCATTAGTCTGCTTCTAGAGGGCAGCAAATGACTGTGTTTTCGTCACAAGAGAAAGGACAAAATTACCATACAGTTCTGCCAGCAAACCAAAGGCACAATCCAGCATCTTGTAGTTAATGGCAAGCTTCCCATTTTGTTTCATGGGAACAGAATCAGGCCCCTATTGCTTTCCTTACTTTCTTCCCTCCTCCACTTTTTAAGTGGATAAATAGTGTGCATAAAATGCACTATACTCCTGTTATCAGTTGTCACTTTTTAAAGCAGGGTGAACTATGGATGGTTTTTATTAACATTCTAAGGCTAAAATTCAGTGGATATAAAATGTACATGACATAAATGTAATATTATTTATCTAAATATGAGCTTATTGGGGTTTCTTATCTGTTTTGTTTTGTGGTGTTTAAAGGAATGTGGATGTTTCTTTTTCTCTGTCCACGCTTCGTAGAGAATAGTGGGGGGTGCCTCTTCTTTTGGAAATAACCCCTAGTGATAAATTCACAGGTGCAACCTAAAGAAAGAAAGACTGTAAGTAATTTTTATTTTAAATGTAATTAACTTTTATTTACATGTGGGTTTTTCTATTGTCTTTATCATAGCCCTGGTATATTCACATGTAAGCTTATACCAGTAGTGTAATCTAAATGATGATAAATTGCCCAAACATCTCATTACTATTCTATTTTTCTTGGTCGGTGATCTATCTCTATAGAAGCTGTTCTAACTTTGTAGCCTCTATGATCCCTTCCTCTTCCTTTTTTTTTCCCAGAAAAAAATACACATCTATTTTCAAAATTTTATTAGTTGAATTTGTGCAGAGCTAGAGGAAAGGGAACTGCTCAGATAGCAACTTCTTCAGAGAGCGTGTTTTGACTCTTTGGCCCTTTGCTTTGGAAGAGCTTAAGTTTTGTGTTCCACATATCTAGAGAACAATCTGGCTGCAGATACAAGCTGATGAAATTATAGAGCTCAAAGATATGATTTGTTCCTCATGATTACCTATGAATGTAGAATGAAAACAGCCACAGTTCAGTACATTCTGTACATTCAGTACATATATCCTCTGGCCTGGAGGGCATTTTTACCAAGTATCAGAGTATCAGAAATAGTGTAACAGAGGCAAGCTCCTGTTGTCATAATTTCAATGCTGTGCAGGTCAAGAAATGGGATTGTTCCAATACAGACTGAAAACCTCTCCTTTAGATGAGAAACATCCCAGAGCCTCTGGGCTGTGGGACAGATAGGATGCCTCTGGTTGAGGGAAAGCCACTGTGGATCATGTTTGCAGCACTCTTGCCAGTGGTGACCTTTCCTGGGGGAGTTTGTTCCTTTGAAGGTGCTCAGAGTCCAGAATTGCTGGGAGGAGGATGCTGTGAACCACGTCTCTTCTGGAGTCTGATGAAGTCTGCAACTATTTTCTTTGTCTCAGAGAGCCCTTACTTCTTTCACCAGTGAACAATTCTAGTGGCAAATCAGATGTCATTTCAGTTGCATTTTAAAAAATTGTACTGGAACTGCCTTTTCCAGGTTGACATTAGTTTTCACTCTGTTTTCAGTGCTGGTGCTGGGTATCTGTTTCTGAAACCATTTACAGTTCTGATTCATTTTTTTAATAGAAAAGTCTAAAGAGTGACTCACACCAGAGTTTCAATTTTTCTTTTCAGCAGTTATGAATAAAACATAATGTAAAGGGAAAAAACCTTTTGTTGTCTACTTCTGAGGAGTACAAAGGAAACATAGAACATTCTGTGTGACTTAGTGCCTGAAAAAATCACAGCAAGACTTCTAGAAAAGTCAAGAGGTGAAATACTTTAGCTAGATATGACATCTTTGAGATGCCTCAAACAAGACACTGTAGAATTTTGCACCCATAAAAAGAGAAGGTTTGTTCTCCAAGGTTTAGATTCAGTTTTTAGCAGCCTAGAAATGATGATGTTTGCAGTGATATAGTTGTTTCTTGGAATAATTCTTCATTACTCATTTTTTTCTGAGAGATTAGCACAGATACTGTCCCACAGCATGCTGTAGTTTAGGCTACTGGGTGTATTACTTCTTGGCTGCAGACTTCTCCAGCATATGGTACTTTATTGTGTTGGCCACAGAAATGTTCTATAGTCTTGCAGTAGCTTTGAATGTGGTTCTGTGGCTTTCAACTTTAATTACGCTTAATAACATAATACATACATAGCAAATAACATTTCCTATATTTAAAGTGTGGTTCTACTTTGAAATGTGATGATTTTAAGATAATTCAAAAAATAAGTTCCTTGTGCTAGTCAAATCATGACTGACTAGTAGCAACAATAAATTTTTCTATCTACCTTTTCTTCAGCAGGGCAGAACCAGCAGAGTCAGTGCCTGTGCTGGACTCTTCAACCTCCATGCAGAAATGCATATGGTGTATTCAAGGGTGAATATACTGCCTTGTGGCAGCTCTGCAAACTCTTCCCTTTTTGAAAAGATACCTTTTAGGATATCTGCCTCCACCCAGCTGAATTTTTAATACAGTTATTACTGGTTAAGCTATCAGTAAAGTTTTGACTAGATCTCAGTAAACAACTCAGTCTTTTATTCACGTTTCAGCAATGACATCAGAATGAATCAATAAAGATAATTTAAAAATCTGGACATTGCTGTCACTTGTTTCTTTCTCGTGCTGTAGAGAGACGATTATGCTGAGGTAGGGTTTTTGTTTTGCTTTCTTTCATTTAGTTTACAGGATTTTATTGTCAGCCCTTTTAAACTAGCCATGCTTTCATTTTGATACAGAAAAAGACAAGTAAGCCAGCTTGACAGGCACAAGCTCAAACACAAAGCAACTGGGAATAACCAAGGAAAGTTTGAGACTTAATTTAGAGCTGTCAATACCTTCCTGGTATATAGCTTACCTTGTATCGGGGCATAAGTATTCTGTGGGCACAAGAGACAGCTGTGCTGTGTGATGCCTTTGGAGCTGGAGGAGCAGCAAGGGTGCGGAGGACAGCGCTGGCTCTGAGAGCCATCCAAGCGAACTCTCTGCTGGCTGCGGTGGCTGATGGATGTGAGGTGGTGTCTCTGCACAGCAGTGCGCAGGGCAGCTCACCTGGAGGTCTCTGCAACAGGCTCCTTTCTTTGGACAGGAGATAGCTTCAATTTCCTACAGAGAAATGGTTATGATCTGTTCCTAGTTTATTGCACAAAATTGAAAACAAGCAGGAAGTCAGTCCTTCTACTTTAATAAAACTGGCCATCTTTACAAGCCAGTAAAAAAACCAGAACCGCCTGAGATTGACGGGAGTGAAGTAAGTGAAATTAGCCTTTGTTGATGCTTTGAATTTCCTAAAAAATCCATCCAATATCTCACTCAGAGCACATGTGGAGGCAGTCTTGCTGTACTGTAACACGAACTGCGATGAACTCATCCCAGTTTATAATGTATAACCTATTCATGTGTACATGGTGGGAGTTTCATTCACACACACACGTATATGTATAAAAAAAAACCCCTTCCAACTTGAGCAGAAACTAATTAAAAATGGAGATTTTTTTCTTAATTACATTGCAAATAACTTTTTTTTTTTTAAAAATAGTCTGCAAGTTTTCATTTCAAATTCTCCTAGAGACAAGAATATTGGATGAAGAATTCATGCTACACTGTCTTTTTCTACAGCTTCCTCACTGTAACAGTCTCTGATTTGTTATATGAGTAAGGTAAAAACTGACTCAGCCAAACAAACTTTGAAAAGCAGCACTAAGCTGTGCTTAGTGGAACTGCTGCTTAAACCTTGTTTTCAGTGATCAAGGCAGCCCAAAGAAACTAAATCTTTTGATAAAAACTAAACTCAAAGCTAAGAGGAAAATGTCATATCCTAAAAATAATTTTATAAAAGGTTCTTCTTGTGTCTCTAGCTAAGGTTGCAATAAAGTCCACGCAAAAGAAGATAAATGGTTGTTCACTTTTGCCCTTTAAAAGATTGCATTGACCCTGTTCTCTCTGCTTTTTAAAACTTTGACTGGATGCTGTCACTCAAGAAAAATACCTCTAGAAAGGTATACTAATGGCTTTGTGAGTAGTGACATTCACTGCAGAGGTTCAGCCAGTGCTTGCCACAAGGCTTGGAAATGTAGTGCCAAAGGTTGTTTTGGCTGGGCCTGGCCATCTCAAGGTCATGCTCTTCCCATAGGGTTTGTCATTCTGGCTGCACAGCTGCCAGTTAGGGAACACCTGGACATGTCAGGTGTACCTCACCTTCTCTTTGTGGTGCAGAATACTCAGCCCTTAATGCTTTCTAGGTGGAAAGGAGAAATGAGCTGCTTGGTTCAGTGAAGACAGTGAAGGAACGTGTCACTTCAGCTTTGCTGTAGCTTATGCAGAAATTTCACAGTTAATCATAGTGGGTTGCCAGATACAAGGCAAAAGCAGGTCTTAAAAGTTTGAACATGACTTCAAATAAAACACACTGAACTTTTTCTTAAGGGCAATAAAAATGAAAATGCTTAAGAGTCAACAAAAAATGCATGATAGTACTTATAGTCACCTACAAAGCTTGTGTGATGATGATGACAAAGTAGTGTACTTTTTTAAGATTTTCTTTGCTAGAAGGATAGATCCCAGTGCAGCAAATACTCCATAGATTAACAATATATCAGATCTTTTTTTCAACTGATAAAATGAAAACTTTTGAAATGTGCATGTTTTTTATTTTGGACTCAATAATGGAAATATTAAAACGTTCTCTGTAATTGCTTTTAGTTACACAGTTTAAAGCAGAATCGTCCACCATATGAATGATTATTTTCAAGACATTAGTAATACCTCATTACTACTGTCTCCAGATCTAAGAGATATACTCCAGCTTTGAACTTTGATAATAAATCATCGTGATGGTGTATTATTTGTAACAGATAATGCTGAAGTAAAGTGTATACGAATTAATGGAAAACTGAAAAGTTATTTGTTTTCAACTAATTGTTTACTTCATGTACTACATAATACATGAACTAACAGTCTAATACATGTAATAGCTACATTATTATTTGTTCTCAAGGTTGTGTAATTTAAGGTTTTGTATCCTGCACTGCATCTGTCAAAGAGCTTAAAAATTACAAGGGAGATTTAATGTCGTCAGCCTTCAAGATGAGAAAATAATGAAGCATGGCCCCACAAGGTGGTTAATTCTATATTGTGCAGTTGAAAGGAACTTAAACTGTTCTTTATCTCATATAAATTGCTGTTAGGTATGAACTACACAACTGCAATTTTATATTCTTCCAGGAAAATGAAAATAAGGAAAGCACAGAGATATTTCCCGTGACTTATATGTATTTCAAAATGTCCTAAAATATTTCTATAGATACGCTTATAAAATTAAAATAGCTTGATTTTATGTATGCTGAAGCTTAAGACATAATTTGTTAATTGAATAGTGAATTACCACAAAAAGCTTGTGACAATTTTTGGCCATAGGCATTCATACATAAAGCACGCTTCATGGAAAAACAGGAGAAAAATGGAAAATGATGGTGAAAAAAATGCTGGTATTTTAGTAAATTATAAGCATGGTTGGAAAACTAGTGGGTTCTGAGATATTCAGTTGAATGTTTGGTCTTCTTTTGGGAGTCAGAAAGTCCCTTCTTATCTCTAGTATGGCAGCAGGAGGATACATTCCTAGTACAAACATGCTTGGACAGTTTGCAGAAATCTGCTAAAGACTCGTGCTTAAACTCAGCTTCAATTAAATTAATTTTGGTTGTATATGTAAGGAGTTCTAAGAATTGATTAGAAAACCAAAAGAGAGTGAACTATATCACAAGTGTTAAGTATAATTTAAATAATAAATCACCATTTGTTTTAATTTAACCTTATATTTCATAATACCAGAAATGCATTCTTAAAAGGAAGGTGAATGATAGGCTAAAAATAACCATAATTTTATAATATGTTTGTTAAAATAAAGAATTTTTCCTTGTCTATTAAAATACTGGTGTATTTTTTTTTTACCATGTCAGTTCACAAGTTCTTGATTTTCCTTTTTTTAAAAATTCAATAACTTTTATTGGAGTAACACCAAGTGAGAGAGGACACTTACCTGAATAATTAAATTGTAGTAAATTACACTTGTTTCACTGGTTCTAATTTCTAGAGAAAATGCAGAGAGGAACTAAACAGGATTTTCTCTTCGGTCAACCTTGTGCTCTCTGATTAGGAGCTTGATACGTTAACTCAGGTTTTGAATTAAACTAAATGCCTGTTTCATCATCACTCTTAGTTTATTGGGGGCGGTGTATTTTATTTTTAAATTGCAACTATATGACCACTTACTAATGTTTGTCTTTGTGGATGGAAGGCAACTTCAATGAGAAGGTGCAATGAAGTGCTGGTGAGCTTGGCTGTTAAGGAGCAAGAAGTTTTGATGGGGAAGAGAGGTTTGAAAAATCTTGGTTGCCTGTAGAGGTCTTGAGGCATTGGAGAGCTCCAGGAGGCAGCTTGCTCCTTGGCAAGCCATGTACTGTGCAAGGCTAGTAAACTTCTAAAGGGATCCCACCAGTTGCCTTTCTGCCAAGGAGTCACCCGATACTCCTTTTTGCTTCTGATCCATACCATCACATTTCTGAGAAGGTTCATTAGGAAGCATCCCTTGGGCTTTACCTTTCTAGGCTGATAGGCACAAGGCTGCAGTCCCAGATGGCCAGGGAATGCAGCAGGAGAGCTGTCTCCAGTGGGGGCTCCTCTTGGTTCCTTCAAGGTCCCTGTCTAGGCCTGAGGGTGTTATACCTGCTGAGCATTGGCTTTGCGCGTGCATTTCTTTTCAGAGGAGAGGAATATGTGTCAATATTATCCTCACTAGTTATAAGTTGTCTGGGCTGGCACAAATTGAAGGCAAGACCTCATGAGCAGCCACTAAGCTTTGCATCAGCTGAGTGAAGTACAGGACAGGCATGCTGGGTAGCATAAGGAGGCTGATGGTCGAAATTACAGCTGAAAGCAGTCAGAGAATTCTCCTGGGAATTCTTTTTGAAGGTGAAGGATAACTTTGAAACTGAAAGTTGAGATTTTGCTTTTCATTGACTTTGTGGTGCACGACTAGTGTTGGTCACAGTTTTGCAGCAGTAGGAAGGTATGACCCGAACTTGGCTCCCTGAGAGACTGGGCATCCTACTGGAGGCATGCAGGTCCTGTGAGATGCAGTCTCTGTAGCAGATTTTTCAGTTTGCAGGAAGCCCCCCAGCTTTAATGAGGTGCAGGTAGAGCAGCAAGGCTGGTTGCTACTAGTGACAGAATCAGGCCTCTATGTGGTTTAACATGCTCTGCGCAGCTTTATTAATCAGTTGGCAGAAATTTTGTCTTCTTCTGAAAAATCAAAGTGATCATTAGCTTACACTGAGCTGACACCAGAAATGAGTCAGAAAGGATCTTGATCTGAAAGCTTCCCTGTAGGGCATGTACGTGTGTCTTCAAGCTTTTCTCTTCTTTCCCTGGGAGGGCTTGCCCTCATCCAGTTCATAACTCTTTGCCTTCCTACCTGATATTTGTTAACTTTTGAAAGTTGCTGTTGCCAAGAGGCAGAATTATCTGATTCATGGGAATCTCTGCATGTTCTCCAAAAAATGCATTTTATTTCTCAATAAGAAAGATTTTTGTGAAATCTCAGTAAAGTGATCATCAT